ACAAATGGTAAAAACTATGACTCAGCTAAAGCGGTATAATCAAATGCCACTAGTATCAGTTCCCAGCTTTTACACAGAATGTCATGAAGTTAAAGTAGAACATCAAGATGCAAAGACTCAATCTAATTGGCTGGCCACAAAATATAGAAACAGTGGCTAGTTGCAGGGCAGTGCAGGAGTGAACTGTGCATGTTAACAGAGCAACCACGAGGCCCTTACAGCAGAGAAGAGCAGCTGGGGCAACTCACAGTGCATCACTGTTACATTGCTGATCTGCGATGTAATGCATAAATAAAATACCACACACACACACACACAGACTGGCTGCACCAGTGCCACTATTAAAAAAAAGAACCTTTGGTGTCCACTGTGTCCAGGATGTATTGCCTCAATTTGTGCACATCATGAATAAGCAACTATAACTGATAGATAGTTCTGAAAGTAAACTGATAACAACTTGTACTGTTGATTCACATACGTAGTCTATACTTAATCCTAATTACAAACTTTTGGTTTGTTGATTGTTTCACTAAACCTTTTTGATCACACGCCAACAAGTGTCCACAGATAATCACACATTGTATGAGATTCAATCAAATCTGTTGGCAAAAGTAAACCATCAGTGTTACAGCACACTAGTCTGAAGAGAACAATTTTGTCCTGCACTCAATATACAGAGTATAATTACGTACGAAAGTCTAACAAGCTGAAAAAAATCAGTCATTTCTGCTTGATTGTCTTTTCCCTGCTTAATATGTCCTCATTCTGATGAACATCGTACACTTATCTGCAGAAAATTGCCTCACAAAACATAATTAGTCATCATCATACCAAGAAGCTGGTACATGAAACTACATTTGGTTTTTGGTTTGTTAAATTACTTGACGCATCTAAGATTTGTTGTAGCTTCATCTTCTGTTGACTGACTAATAGACACGCACTTTGAGCACTTTACACATAATTCCACAAAACAAGCAGGGAGCTGCAGAGACTTGGAAAATTGTGGATCCCTCGCATAACTCTTGGTAAATTAGTCTCACGCTTTTTATCCATGAGTCAACAAAACAGCCAAATTGGCAGAATTGTTGTGTTAGAGTAAACACGCTTCCCTCCCGATTGTGTTTTCAGAGTGATGCTGACAAGGTCCTGAGTCCTGCGTTCTCTCATCTCTTCCCTTATACGCTGACCACTCATACACAGAAAGTCCCCTCGTCAGCACACAGATACGAGACATGTTAAATATATTGGTTTTTATTGTACCCTGCAAACTGCAATGAATCACGAGTGCAGCCAAGAGTTACTGTTGAATTCTAAAATTTGAGTGATTGAAGTTTTGGTAATTCTATAAGGATCTATCCAACACCTACAGACTGTAATTTAAAGCAGCATGGTTAGGATTCAGGAATCTATTAGCAGACATTAAATATAATATTCATAATTATGTTTTCATTCGTGTATAATCAGTTGTAACTGTGAATCGTTAGCTTAGAATGAGCTCTTTTATATCTACATAGGGAGCAGGTCTTCTCCTACGGAGTTCACCATGTTGCACCACCATTTTTCTCCAGCAGCCCAGACCAGACGAACTGAGAAGTGGCTCTGGAGAGGAGCTTTTACAGTTTTACATTGAAGTGACAGCGTGGTTCTCCCCAACGCTTTGATGGGGAGGGGTGAGGGAGGGGCTCTCAGTTGGGTTCAATCCACAACTTCACCACTGGATGCAATTAAATCCTACACACTGTTCCTTTAATGGGTTTTCCTTAAGTGCAGAACTTGAGATTTTTTTTATTGCTAGTCATAAAGGGACGTGTATGACTACTTTCATGAGAACTGGGCGATTAAATATCTTTCACTGCGACATAAAGTCCCACACTTGTATGGAAACAGCACAACCTTGGCAAAACGAGAGACATAGACACAATAGGTAAGATGCTAACAATATTAAAAGAATGAATAAATGAAAGTTACTTAGAATTTGTAAATGATTTTTTTTTTTTTAACAAGAATTGAAAAAGTAATGTGTACATAAGTGTTGCCAATATTGATGTAAATTTAACAAAATTAAAAAAAATCTTGACAAAACCGGACACCGCTCACGATTAGTCCAACGGTCAAACCTTTGGCAGATGTCGATTTTATTTTATTTTTTAAATAGAAAACATGCCTTTCAGATCTGGGGTTTTGGGTTCAGAGGATTAAGTTTGTCCAGAGTGAGAGAACCAAACAATCTACTGATAAGGAAACTGACATGTACAATAGCAGGAACGTTGACGGGTTGACAGCTGGTGTGAAAGCAAGACATCTGCTGTGACTGTTGTGACTGACTACAAAGTGACACAGTGATTGTGATAAACATGCGTTCATGTGATAGTAAAAAGACTCTTGCGAAAGTTGAAAGAGCTTCTGGTGACACTGGATATCTACCTTGTTTGCCAGATGTAGTATGTAGTAAAGTACGTCAGTCATCACCAGGTCAGTTCATCTCTAACTACACAATTTTTGTGGTGGTGGTGGTTTTTTACTGGTATTGCTGTTTTCTTGCACTCTTAAATTTCAATTTCTCCCCCCTTTATACCTTTATACTGAACTGATTTCCCATGAGCATCGATACCTTAGGCCAGAATTTAATTTGAGCAGGGTAAATCCTGCAGAGTCTCAGCATTGGAGGTGTTTTGCCTTCAGTTCACAATAGAATCGCTTCTCCACCAGTAATTTGTGCCTTGTGAACCATTCACAATGTTCCACTTTCAGAAGTACAAAAATGCATCACCCAGCACGACACATCTCATTGACAACTCAGGGAGGGTGCTGACAGACTGAAATAGACAGTACTTGAAATAAATGTCTCTCCACGCTACTATGACAGTTGGTGCCATACAACTTAATTACAGCCCACTCTTTTCAGAATACCATCAATATACAGAGGATTATGAGTGAAGGCTGTTTGTATACGTCCTAGCTCTTAAGCATGAACACAGGATCCCAATTATAACGTAAAGGCTGTTCTACTGATCCACTTTTGCCCCTGTTTTCCCTTTGAAAGGTAAACAGTGTTCCTCCGTACTGTATTAGCTGCAGTTACCTGCTTCAGTATTGTTTGATCCTTTTAATGGCACCATTACAGGTGGTGGAGGCGATGGAAGCTGCCTCGGCCTGATTGATGCTGTATACATTAACTGTAGTGGCAGAGGTCTGCCGATCACGCTATTTTCCCTCAGCAGGGTGTTTGTTCTTTTCCTTTCTTTGGTCGAGGTCGAGTCTCTTGCTCAGGAATTTTCTTTTCTTTCAGTTTGTCTTGCAACCCTTTAAATGATCATTTTTCAGTGCTTCCAGAGCAGAATGTTAAGCCTCAGTGCTTTATGAATACTCACAGAAATTTGCCATTGTACTGATAATCAAAACTGTCAAGGATGAAAAGCTAGCATGTGATGCCTGCTCAAAAAACATAAAGTCCTCTGGGTTTGATTGTGTACGTAGCTAATAGAAAGACTGAAGTGGGTGTGAATAATTATGAGTGGATGAGAGTTTGCTTCAAGAGGCTTGTTGCTTCGCTTATCCCAGCAATTCCAAACACCACACCTCTAGCCCTTAGCAAAATAACACAAACTGCACAAACAGTCCAGTGGTCAAATACACATAAGTGGAGGTGAAATATATTTAGACAGTGATATTGAATGCTCTAGTCTAGACAGTGTTAAGTGGTTGATCAGTATATCCAACATGACAAGTGTTGGTAACTTATTCTTTGATCAGGTATTAGCTATTTAAATTTAGAATAGTGTTAATTTTGTAATAGGACTTAGCGAATATCTACACCTTTTCCAACCAGCTGCCAGCAGTCCACCAACATGTGTTTGCTGATATATTTGCAGAGATGTTTGACACTGTTTGCAAAAGAGTCAAACATTGATCTGACATGCATGGCAGCCTGCCACAGTATCACTGCTGACAGCCACATATTGATTTCCTGTTTTTGAAAATCACTAGGTTGCCGGCGTTTCCACATAGAATAGAATCAATGTGTAGTTCACCAGTGGTTAGTGTCATGTATGACTGATGCATTCAAGTTAATTCTGATAAATTGGTTAATAAATGTTGTCAACACAGTGCTATCAATTCATATCAGTAGGTTGTATCTACACATCCCATGTATGAAAACTACTGTTGCGTCTGCGCTCTATTGCTCTTAGCATAGTTGCTGCTCTGACTAAAAAATTGAGTTCCATGCAGAGGAGCCTCGTAGACTCTTGTGGCCTTGAGTAGTTGATGAAATTGTCATGTGGACGGACGTGGGGAACTGTGATGGGAAGACCTTTGGTTTGTGCATTAATCCAGCCAGGCTCGTAGCTGCTAGCGAGCCGTTATGTCCCAACCAACCCTGCAGTGATGAGGAGTGTCTGAGAGATGCTGTTGTGATGCTGCATGACCTGGCCTTTATTTCCATCTCTGGGGCAGCTAAATGTTGACAACATTTGGATAACCACTGTACAGAAATGTAGGCCTATCTACACACGTTTTGGCTGATGACAGTAATCTAATCACCGCTGTTGGCATGCATCGGTCAGCGGCTGCAGCTATCAACAAGTGAATTACTTCTCTCAGATGGAGCTCCAACTACAAATTCCTATTCCTGGCCTGTTGAATTGTTTTTTTACAGGTTAATTGTTCACACACACACACAGACAGACACACACACACACACACACACACACATATATATAAGGAAAAAGATGTGACTTTGGAGTTAGGTTGATGTTGCGATGTCCTCATTTAACAAGGGTGACTCTTGTAAATGTGTTTTAAACAGTCAGTGTGTAAATGAGGATTGCTTTTCCTTATACTCTGACTCTTTCCTTTTGCTTTATAATCTTTTCCTGCCTCTCAACATGACTCACCAGACTGACCCATCCTTACATTTTGGCAAATAGGATGTAACAATGTCACTGTCGACCTTAATCCCTGCTACAATTAATACATTCCTGTCTGTCTTCTCTCTGCAGTATGAGTTCAAGGTGAAAAACATCAAGAAGAAAAAAGTCCACATCGTGGTGTCTGTAGATGGCGTGAAGGTCACCTTGAGGAAAAAGAAAAAAGTGAGCCATCATTTTTCTCCTCCTTACATGCATTTAATGTCTTTTGATTGAAATTAAAAGGGGATTTTAATTTGACAGAGGAGGCTTTCAATAAAAAAAGGTACCGGGACATTTTTCTGTTAATGAAATGGTAAGTCTGTTTCAATGTAGCCTGCAATGTTCTCGCCTCTCATTATAGCAATATGAATGCATCTTGCCTTTTCAGTGAATCTGCTGATTCAACAAGCTGGTATATTGACATTCTAAAAAGAAAAGTCATGACATGTTGTTAATATTACAGAAAAATGCCAATTAAAAATCACATTTTACATACAGGAAAATTTAACTTTAACATATATGTTAAAACAAGTAAATCTCTTTTCTGAAATCTGCTGCTTTGAGTAATAACCTCCACCGTAGTTTACAGGAATGTTATGAGTCTCAGTGGCTTGTTGGCTCTGGCTCTGCTGTTGTGTATTCATCAAGAGACACTGCACTCTGACTTGTGCTCGCAATTTGGGTTTGTTGATGAGATATTGTCTATAGTTCACAAGCCACTGTAGTCTAATGAATTGAGTTAGTCACTTTTTAAAAGCTCCTTAGATTCATTTCCTTCATCCTTGTATGTGCCAGAAGGTGATGATCGATCCTCCTGGTAATTAGACAGCAAATAGAGGTGAGAATGGAGAGATTGTAAGAGACGACAAAGGGCTCGAAAGGAATCAAAACCAGTGAAGGAGCGGAAATGAAAGGAGTGGAGTTCAAAGATGAGAAAAGAGCAAAAAGACAACCTGAAGAAACTAGAGCAGAGTTAACTTCATTAAGAAACATCAGATTACCAGGCTTAGAATTCTGTTGCATGTGCTGCTAAGTGGAGGGAAGCTAAAATTACACCAGACGATATGCAAGACAGGCTGTAGCTCGCACATTTTGAATTCACTTCAGCTCTGATTTGGCCTCCGACTGAATCTCCAGAATAATGGCAGCTGAGACTCATGCATATTGTAGTTTTGGGAATCCATATAAAACCATTAAATTGACAGTAATTACACTGAAAAAAACAACAACAAACAAACAGAAATTAGAATTTGCAGCGGGTCCAGGGAGCTTTTCTACAGGTTCTACCATTTTAGAAAATTTTGTTTTCTACTTTTAATTTCTTAAAACAAACTGTAAGTGAGATTATATGGCAAAAATGATGTGTGTGGATGCCTTCTGTATTGAAAAAATTGTACAGCCATCATTGAAGGCTTGATGTAAAATTAATTGGCGAGTTGGAATTAAAGGCCAGTCAATAGATGGATGTTTCGCCTCCACCTGTCTCCTCGTCTCATTTGGCTCCTTGTCCTGAAAGCAGAAATGTCAAGTGTGATGGTCGGCAATCTATTTACATCTGAGTATGGCGAAGGCAATGAAAGCCCAGAGATAGGAATGATTGAATGACTGAGTCAACAAAGCTTTGCAGAGACAGAAATCAATATAAATAATTTCCGTGTGCTCGTGTGTTGACATTTTGAATGTGACATTAAACTGAAAGGTAGATTTAATCAAATAGACATGCAAAAGGAGAAAATATAAATGTAAAAATGCCTTAAAGTTGGAGTGAGGAGCTTTTACATATAAATTACATTCGAGCCAAACGATACTGAAAAACTTTTCAGTGCCAGGTAGATCTCTCTGTACTTGCAGAATATCAGAATTTAAAATCCGGATAAATAATTAGTTTTTACGGCTGAAGAAGGGAGCAACATTAGAGACACAGATGTAGTAGGCTATAGCAACTACAGCAGGAGTATGGTAGAACCTATGAGGGAACGTCTGACTCCCCAGATGTAGGATAACGAGCCACTGATCATTTCAGTCAGCTTTGTTCTCTATTCCGCTGTCTGTGTAAAACAACAACAGTCTCTGAGCAGCAACCTACCACACTGAAAATTTCAAGTTGTGCAGAGGATTCGGATGGTACAGTAAGGCAGCCCTGCTCATTTTGGGGGGGGGGTTTTTTTTTTATTTTTTTGGTGGATTATCCATTTTAATGACTGTGCTTGTCTCCTTGCATGCAAATGTTCCACCACAATTTCACCCATCACTGTTTTGAGGCAACACTGAGCAGACTGATAGTGTGATGCAGCCAGACCATTATGTTCTTTAGAATGGGCTGGTAAAGTGAGACTAATGATGGAAAACTCTAAGAAGGGTCCAAGAAAAGTTTTTGAGGCTCCAGGCTAAAAAAAAGAACGTGCCCTTACAGTCTCAAAAAGAAAGCAGATCACTGCAAGGCATAGGTCATAAGCATGCATTGACTGTGTTTGTGTTATTATTCTCACCGCCAGAAAGAGACGGCAAAGGGACGACTGCAGGTTCAAACGTGATGCTGTAATCTGCACACACAATCTATGCAGTGGACTTAATTTTTCAAGCGTTTAATGTTCAACTGTCCAGATGAGGAGTTTCTTGTCCTTGCTTCCATCTTCTGCTTGATGTCTCAAAACATTTTCATTTGGTGTGATGAAATGGTTTTGTTGTGTTTACACAGAAGAAGGAGTGGACATGGGATGAGAGCAAGATGATGGTGATGCAGGATCCCATTTACAGGTAAGCAGCCACAAGGCTCTTTTTTTTTTCCCCTCCACATAGCAATTCATTTCTTTAGCTCATCTTGAAATGCTAATTTATATGGTTTTTAATACTAATTCAAATGACTTCAGTCCGTGTGACTCATTGGGCCTTTTCCCAAATGAATTTTAATCCAGGCTTGATTAAATACACTGTGGTGGCTGAGGAAATGAGAATCTTTTGTCTTTGTCACTGCAAGCGTTGACATTTTGGAGAAATAAGGACATGGCAGCTCTTTGATGATAACTTTTACTGACTACGGAACAGAACAGAATTTTATTTTTTTTAAAATTGAGAACTTATCGGGCAGTATTGACGCAAAAACATTGGAGGGTAGAGGACCCCAGATAATATGAAATACACACATGTGAGCGTCAAATGTGTGCAGGCAGAGATGGGTTTTAGATCATTGCTGAACAAAACATGCAGTTCTTTTTAATTTTAGATTTTGAGGGAAGGCAATTTAGCCTGGGCTTCAATAAAGACACTGTGAATATTTATTTTAATAAAGCATATGATAAATAAATGAATGAAGCCGTGACTATGAAACAGAGTCCTGGAATGTAGAACTTTTTTTTTTTTTTAAAGATTACAATATTGAAATAAAGTTCTCAGCTTTAAATTACCAGTGTGTAACATTTCAAGGGGTGAGATGGAATATTGTGTTTTATAATTATATTTTCATTTGTGTTATTGATCCACGCCGGTATAACCCTGTACAGGACCACTGGTCCAGCTCTCCGTTACTAGGGTTAAGCTCTATCTGCCTACAGGCCCTTGACCTAATAGGATTCTATAGAATTGCTTAAGCTGGTGTCGAGGAAACTCGCCGAGCTTCTAACTGCCTTAATCCAGACGTCTACCCCACTTCCTCTAATAGTTGACTCAACTAAGTAGCCTCAGTAGTCAAATCACCTACCAGACACGCCTGTTAGTGGCAGCTTTCCTCTTTGGATCGAGCACTTGGTAAGTTGCTAGGTTAGATTTAGAGGTTTGGCACAACTAACCTCAGGGATCTGTTTAAAACTACTATTTCTCCTGTGATTTAGAATAACCATTAAGAACCACTATAAGATCTTATGCACACAAGTACCTAACTTTTTACTACCACCGGATACTGTAAATGACTTAATAAAATTTCGAACCAAATAAACTTTAAAGGTAAAATTAAATATTTATTGCATAACTTTAGCAGGGGCAAAGCAACAGCTCTTGATTATTCATTTAACAATATTTCAACATTTGATTAAACTAATTGATTAAAATAATCTTTTTACGACAGAAGTAATTAAAAGATATTTTTTCTGAAGGTGTTTAGGCTTTTCCAACCGATCCAAGACATTTTTGCAACGCCGAATCCAAAACCAATATCCGTCTCTCTGTAACAAGTCAGGTTTTTATGCCAACTCGATTTTGAAAACATAGGATTTACCACAAAATCAATTACATTCTTTGGATTAGTGATTTACTTATTTTAGTACTTCTCATATGAAATCTGAGTTTAGAAGTAAAATTTCATGATTCAAAAGTTGATGAGCACAACCATACAGGTGAACAAAGATAAATTGCATCTCTTATCAAATCCTAATTTTGACCATATTGAGCAAAATCAAAAGTTATACCTGGATTCAGCACATCGCAAACGTCCAAAATCAGCTGAAGAAACCCAGACACCAAAATGGGTGCAGGCCGATGTTAAGATAAGATTATAAAACTGAGCTTTTCTTAAACTAAAAACAATGACCTAATAATTATTTTAGAGAGGAAGAGAGCCGAACAACCTGGCCTTGGCTGATCAACTCAGCTCCCTCTGACCTGAGCTTGGAGAGAGAGCATCCTCCAGTGACGCAGCAACCCAGTACAAGGTCCCGCTTCACGGGCAAAGTCCTCCAGCCAGGGGGAGATGAGAAGTCCCAACTCTGATCAGAACTGCAGTTGATTTTTGTGTCCAATTTGGGAAGGAAGAAAAGTCTTTTCTTCTGGCAGAACACAGAAAAGGGTTCTGCCGCTCCTCTTCAGTGAAACCACAGCTCCATCGCAGCTTCTCCAAAGCGCACTTAGTCAACCGAAGACTGTTACCTTTGATTTTCATCTAAGTCCCGCAAGCATCCTCCGGTCTTCTGGTCAGAACGGCAGCCACAATTTCCTCCATCTGAGGCGATCTCCGACCGTTAACTCTATATCCTTAATCACGAAAAGTTTCATCTTTCAGCCCAACATCCAGTTCCGCTTTTTAAGAGATACCGTTTACCAAAAGAGGAACCATCAACTGCTTTAATATTGAGTTCATTCTGCGATCATTCTGTGACTAGTGTCCTTATATGACCTATCTGCCTTAGGGACACTCACCGAATTTGCTCTTTAACATAAACTACTTCACCTTCATTCATTTACTCTTAAATCAAGATTACAAAACATAATCTTAGCTCCATTACTAGGTTTGAATCATTGGTTTAAATCACATAATATATTTTAAGAATCATTATTCCAAATGTACTCTTTCAATCATCATGGTTACAGCACAGCATTTCTGATCATAGAGTCTTTTATATTGCTCACTCAGAGTCAGTGTTCTTTGTTAGTGGCTGCTTCTGGGATCTCAAACCTTGACTCCACTTGACAGTGTATGTTTACCTGAAAATACGAATCATTGAAGTTTTTCAGTTCAGAATAAGCTGTAAATATCTACATAGGGAGCAGGAATATTATACACCAGGTTTCTATAATAGCCCAAAACTGGCTCTAGAGAATCCATTTCACATCTTTACATGAAGTCGTAGCGACTGTAGGTTCTCATACAGGCTTAGAAAGGATATGTGTATTGAGCTGGTTGCAATCTACAGTTGCCACTAAATCCTATAGACTCATGCTTTATTACATGTAAACATTTTTGAGGATCCATACCTCCCCTGTAGTGTTAATTTCTAATATCTTTCACTCTCATTAATCAGTTCTAATCTGTGACTTTAGACATTGTTTCTAAAAAGCATGTTGTGCCCCTCGACAGTGTGTTTACTGAAGTAGTCGGCTTTACCTGAGGCACCTTAATTGCTCCGTAAGTTTTGATCAAAGCTTTAATTGTGACAGACCCTTTCTAATCATTTGCGGATGTGGACATAGTAAGGTTTGGTTTTGTCATCTGTGAGTGCTCATGATGTTCTTGTACATGGTTTACTAATGACAATAAACATGATTAGTCAAGGTACAGTAAATACAATGATCTGACAAATCTATGCATTTTATTTTATTTTTTCATCATTTGAATAACAAAAATATCTGTCAGGCTTCAGTAAATTAACAAAAAAAGTGTTTTATTACAACATTGGAAGGTATTGTGAGTTTGAAGGAGCTGGGAAGCAGATGGTAAACATGATATTTATAAATCATTAACAAGCTAAATGTCATTCCTAAGCCTGATGAGACAGCAAGTGTCTGAGGTGGGAGTAATTTTGTTAGTGTACCTATGCAGTAGCCAGCAATCCAGAGACTACGATTTATACATGTATACATACGCTCAAACTAATACATAGAAGACAAGCAGAATTTCATTGGAAACTTGCCGGTGATTTGCTTCAAAGGTTGTCCTTCAAAAAAACTCTGGCAAATTCCTCTGTCTGTTTAATGGTTTAGGTCTTGGTCTGTCCTTGGAAAGCTTGGGTTAAGGGACACATCCAGCGATTCAAAGATATGTTCCTCTGATGACAGGCTGTTTCCTTGTAAACAGAATGAACAGACAAGAACAAGATTGATTTTGTATATATATATATATTTTATTTTTAGAGGCCTGGTAAGCATCATTTATTACTTTGGACCAAGCCAGGCAAGCAGTTTCCCTCTGCTTCCAATCCAGTTCTCAATCGTCTTATTCCACTGCGGGAAAGAAAGGAAATATCCACACATCCATGCACTCTCTACTAGGGCTGGAGCCGAATAGCCGACTATTTGTTTGCTGTGCTACAATTGGGATATCAATTTTGATCCCACCCCCCCCGCCTGTGCGTCCCGCCCACTTCCAGCACGTCGGAGCCTTTGTGTGAACGAATACTCAGCCAACCCCCTTCCAACTACTCGGGATATTCGTCACTAACTGGGCCGAATATCCAGAGAACAGAAATTGCTATTCGGACCAGCCCTACTCTCTACATACACTTTAGGTGGGTAGAGGATTGTCGGGGGATGGAGTCTATCCCAGCTTATTTTGGGGAAAAGGCGGAGGTATACCATGGGCAGGTTGCCAATTCATCACAGGGCTAACACAAAGAGACAGACAACCATGCACTACCAGAATCACAGCTATGGCAAATATATAATCACCGATTAGCTTTTGATGTGTGTCTTTGGACTGTGGGAGGAAGCCTCAGCACCTGGAGAAAACCCACACTGGCACAAGGAGAACATGCAAACTCTACACAGAAAGAATGATGAACTTGCGCAGATAAACAGTGAGATGAAGCCCTTGCTGCGTGTGTGTGTTTGATTCTGGCTCATTTGCTGTATTTCATCCCCCTCGCTCCCTGTCTCTTTTTAACTGTCACGTATTATAGGCTTAAAAGCCAAAAAACAAACAAACAAACAAAAAGATTAAATTAAAAAAAGGGTCCCAGTTACCTCGCAGCTTCGAATCCACAACCTTTTAGCTGAAAGGCAACAGTGCCACTTTAGAAAATGTTCAGTTATTCTTTTAAACGGAGTTTATCTTGCTGTGTCACTAGATACAGGTTGCTGAAGGTAGTCTGTGTTGGCTGGTGATTAGATAAAATAAGATAAACTTCACTGACCCTTCACCTTCTTTACCAGTGTCCTGCAGACTCAAAAGGACCTCAGTCTCCTCAGCCAGTCGAGACAACTTTGGCCCTTTCTTATATAGGACAGGACTGGTGTAATCTGGAGAAAAGAGCAAATGAATAAGTAAAAAGACATTGAAAAGATGCAAAGAAAGAACTTGTGGGGCATGCACACATTAACTAGCTTGGCTCCTC